GGTCAACAGTGGTTGAGGTCATTATTCCATCATTGCCCAATCTATAGGCAATTATCTGTGTGTGATGTGGGGCTAATTGTTTTACGCAGCTGGCTACCATATATATATATATATATATATATATATATATATATATACACATTTTCTAAAGCATGGAGGGGAAATGAAATGACGAACAGCCCGACAAAAGACTGCCAAAAAGGATCAGAGGGCCCTGCGACACATTTAATTTATAGCTCATGATTCACAGGGATTTGAACAAGACATCCTAGAAAAGATTTCAGACAGTCTGCTGCGATAGCTGTGTGACAAGAACTGAAATGTGTTATTTTGTTTGCCTCACCTTCAACCCATCCCCAAATCATCCCACAAATGATAAACTGTTTTGACAGTCGGACAAATCTAAATCATATAAGTGCTTCTAGGCGCTGTATCATCGCAGGGCTCAGCTTTCATCGAGACCTATAAGCGGCAATGCCTTGAGACTACAACATCGGAGGTCTTCAAACCAGCATCTAAATGCCGTCGTCCTAATTTGTGAGATGGAAACCAGATTTATTGCACACGTTTGGTTATTTTGAAGGGCAGTCAATCAAGCAGTATTTTCTCTGCGCAGTTTATTGTTTCTTTATTGTCAATCAATGTGACAAGGAGGAGATGGTCTTTTAAAACATGACCCTCCTCCCAATATCCATTCCGATAGTTCAGTGATGAAAACAATGTGCATGAGGGGGTGTGTGTATGTGTGTGTGTGTGTATGTGTATGTGTGTGTGTGTGTGTGTGTGTGTGTGTGTGTGTGTGTGTGTGTGTGTGTGTGTGTGTGTGTGTGTGTGTGTGTGTGCGTGTGTGCGTGTGTGTGTGTGTGTGTGTGCGTGTGTGTATCTATGCCGGCGGTGGGTGAATTAATGAATTAGCTCTCAACCGCAACCTATCCTCAACCTTTTTCTGCAACAGGGAAACAAATCACTGACCTGTCCTCTGCTGTGATGCGAGGGGCTTCATCAGATGACAGGCAGTCTAAAAGCGTCTAATCCCAGACACTACTGTGTATTCTACATGTTATTAATGTGTGACTGCCTGCGTCTGTGCATAATTGAACATTTTGAACCCTTGAGCCAATATTCCTCAAATGAATCCTCAGCACCCACATCAAAATGATTATTTCTAAACAAACCGTGTTTAATCGACTGCGTGCCTCCGCGGCACTCTCCATCTGGAGGATGCTGTGTGACAGCTTCCCTTAAATTACAAATATCAATCCGCCACAGTGGGAGCTCAGCTGCCAGTGGCCTCATGGGGGTCCACGTCAAAGCAACCAGCCTTCAAAACAAAGCCATCAAAACGCTGTTCTCGCAAGACGCTTTGTTGTGACTCAACCGCGATCGTAACCCAATAACTGTTCAACTGAAATGACCAAATACAACAGCAAGGGCTTGTGACTCCTGATTATACAGCTAACCTGAGTTGGATTCAGTAAGGAATCTGAACTGAAGTTGGCCCGGTGTGTGTGGCTCTGTAGCTCCATCCTCTCCCATCCTCTACCTCCCCTCTCCTCTCCCTCTCTCTCCTCCCTCTCCCTCTCCCTTTCCTCCCTCTCCCTCTCCCTCTCCCTCTCCCTCTCCCTCTCCCTCTCCCTCATCCCTCTCCCTGGCAGGGACGGACAGACGCCAGCACCAAGGGCTCCCAATCTGCTGTGTGATCAGCGGTATTCTCCCTAACCGTGTTTCCCCTTCTCATCTCCGGCTGTCTGCCTGCAACAACACCACCACTTACACTCCATCCACCCGCTTATTGATACACTTCACCGCAGGATCGCCTTCGAGTGCTCCTTGGGAAGGCAATGGGTCTGCGGGGCAGTCTGATTCAATCAACGTTAGGAGAAAACACATATCATTCATCACCAACACAGGATCAGTGCAGGGTGACTCTCTAACAGCGCTTCCTTCCAACAAGATGACCGCTTACACACAAACAGTTTGCCTTGCTGTGGTCCCACTGGGTACTGAGCAGCTTAGTGACACTGATAGGGTTATCATGGTCTCATGCAAGGATGTTTAAATACACATTGGATCAGGAACATACATTAATCGTAAGCAAAAGTAAATCAGGCAACTATTAGGGGCATATTAGATGTCATGGCTATCCCAGGGCTCATTGATTTGAACTCAGGCTCTATATTCGTCCACCAACATTGCCAATGGCGGGCATTATGTGCACCCTGTGCATTTTAACAGGCACGATTGGGTGTTTAGCCCATGGAATATAAACTGCAGCGGGAGAAATGCCTTTTCAGGCACGATCATCAGTATTTCTGATTTGGAGTCTCAATGGCACTTTACTCTAAAGCATATTTATAAAATATTACAGCGAGGATGAAATGTGGGCTTTTTATTGCCACGAATCTGATGGCAGAGGGAGAGACAGAAGCCCTGAATTGAAGCAAAATACTGACAAACCTCAACACTGCCATTAAAGGCTTTGTATCTGCTCTTATTTTAGTATATATATATATATATATATATATATAAATAAATAAAAGACATGTTCTGTACATTTTACACAAAGGTAAATGTATTCTCTGACTGCTTATGCCTTACCTATAACCCACATGGAATACTGAGAAGACTCGGTTCCTTTCAGATAAATATGACATAACTAAACAGACAGAGCAGGTCCTCAAGTTATTACAGACCTGCATGTCATATTGTTAAGAGTCCTTTTCTATAGGGTTGATGGGTTTCAATTTTTTTTTTTAACTATTTGTGCATTGGACAAGCACCACTTCATGATGATCAGCTAATGGATTTCAACATCACTCCGTATGATGCCATTTAAAGCCAACATTGTAATGCAGGGCCAAAACTGAAGAAAACATAGGGCACAGGATGTATGTGTGTCATTATGCCAAGAGCAGTGCAACAATGGGCCCTCATGTAAATCCAAATGGCTAACTTCTTTAGTTTTGAATTGAAACAAACAGTATACTATGTATCAAGTAAATAGGCATAATGTGCATGTTGGTATAATGAAATCCATTATTAGACAAAAGTGACAAGACAGCATAGCTGGCCTGATTCTCAAAGTCTTTTTTCAAATGTATTCCACATGGTCGGAGCTCATTACACAGACGTAATGGTTCCCTATGAATGCACAATTTGTTTACTTGTGACACACACACAAAATGGCTTAAATGCTTGGAGCTCAGTGGCTGCTCAAATATTTAAACAGAAATAATGTAAGAGAAGCCAAAGAGAATTAACTGCAGCACTGAACATTTCAACTTACAAAATCAGCCCCGAGTTGAACAAAGGAGCTGTCTGTTTCAGGACCACGGACAGTTCCTGTCATCTTCCCAGAGATGAGGCGCTGCTGGCAGCTGTGACGGCCTGCCACTTTGAAACATCGCACAGACGTGACTTTAGGAATTCATTAATGCAGAAAGAAGATGACATCTAAGATCCACGGGGACACTGAGACATCTTCATGACTTTCTAATGTTTAACAACGTGCATTGGAAATGAGGCTCACCTCCAACTGGCCTCTGGCACAAAGTCTAGCAGCATTGAAAGAATAAAACACTTGACAAACGAGAAAAGGACTGTCTGCACATATTACCATCATAAAAGACCAACCTTGGTGTTTTCACAAAATACAGTTCAGCAGAAAAACAGCTACAGCAATGGTTACATTTAAATGTGTTCAAAAGAAACCTAAATACTCATGAGTGTGAGAGAAAGCGAGAGGGTATAGGCTCTCACTGACAGCACATGTTTAAGATGAGCCCATCAGCCACTGACCGAGAGACCACCAACAATCTCTCCTCAAAACGACTTGTAGCAGCGCCGAGTAAACATGACTTGACATTTAAAAAAGCAAACAAAAAAATGGAACCCTATATTTCCGGAGGGTTGCCAATAAGAATCAAAAGTGGTCATCAATCGTCACTCAGACCCCTGCGTCATGCGTCGGTTTCCGCGCGGTTCCACCAAGGGAGCGCGCTGTTTGTCCTCATGGGAAACTTGTACAGTAGGATGTACAGAATGCACGTGGATGAAGCATACAGCTGTCATGCCGGAGTCATAGATAAGCGTGTGTTGGGGCGATAACTAAATTGGAAGCGTGTGCGCGAGTTTTGGCATGCCAATGTAGCCCGTGTGTCGAATTTGGACTCTGCAACAAATGACGCACGCTCTCACACACGATCGATCACTGGAAGTGTGTGTGTGGGGGGAGTGTGTGCGTGCGTGCACGTGAGGGACAGAGAGAGAGAGAGAGAGAGAGAGAGAGAGAGAATGATAAGTTATTTTCTGGCGCAACCATTACAAATAAACTTGGGTCTATGTTTTTGTTGAACCGCTGCCCTAAGTGAAACCAGCACCAGATATCCTCCGTATAAAACACACGACAGTGAATATAATAAGGCTTATGGGGAGACTGGCTTCAGGGAAAGCTGCCTCGTCGTTTACACCTTTATCTAAATCCTCTCTTTAGTGAGCTCCAGTGAGCCCGGCGGGCCGGTGTGTGAGACTGCACTGCAGAGGGCTCCTCCGGCATCGCCATCACTGAGCTCATGAGCAAACATGCGGTATCGTGAGCCAAATATACAAAACAGGGGCTCTCAGTTCAAGGAAGAGAGGCTCTGAGATCCCCTCTCACACTGCGACACATACCATTAGTTTAATTATGCATCTCCGGCTTTCTGAATGTTGTTGGCTATAATGATTCCTTGTTTTTCTCATTGATGCAACAGTGAACTTCTTCTTCTTACAGCGTTAGACTGGCTCACAGCCTTTTTAAACATTTTTAACAATATCACATCTCCAGCATCGTGATTTACCCCTAAAATAACAACTGCTCAACAACAAGCAGAGTCACAGGCTGTTAATACATTGCCGCAATAATCAAAGGAGCCTACCTACTAAATTGAGGTTGGGGAACTTTATGAAATACTCGGAAAAACTGGGTTTTGTCGGCAAGCCAAGAGAAAAAACTGGCCTACCTTGAACTCGATTCCAAAATGAAACGACAGTCAGTCAGTGGGGAAGGCTTTGGACATCACAACTCCAGATCAAAAGAGAAAACACGTTTCCATAAAATGGGTACAAGCCAGTGATAGTCTGTGTTTCGGCGAGGTCACCCATTCAGCCAGTCGTCCGGTTTAAATCCAAGCAGAATAATGGAGATCTTGTCTCTGTCCTTTGGGGAAGAAGTGCGCCAAGCGCTCTCCTACACAGATGTGACTTTGCGCGCTTGAAATAAAACCGATGATGGGTAGCAATGAGATAAAAGAATACTACTACAACCAATAAACAAATGTATACCAAAACGAGTGGGAGCGAAGCATGCCAAATGATCACCCCCGTCCAAAAGCTGACAGCTGACTTTTACGCAAATCGTGCTCAATTACTAATCCTCTACTGGGTGCTTCGCCATCCCAGACGCACTGGTCGGTTGCGATCCCCACTCAGCAGCGCCGCGGTGGAGATGGGAAAAATAAATGTATGGATATAATGGCCAGATCCGATGGGGGTTTTCCTCCACAGCTCCGCTCTTCAGTTGCAATGCACACGACGAGAAGGATCTCTCCCCGGTCCTAGTGCACCACACACCGGTCCCCGCTGGCTCTAACACACGCGGCGACTGCACCTGCACTCTGTCATTTTCATCGATTTAAACAGTGAAATGGATGAGGGGAAAATAAATTCCAGCAGACACCTATAACTCAACTCAAAGCTACAACGCTGAACAGAACGGGATGTGCGGAAAGGATCTTCACTTGTTGGAGGAGGGAGAGGGAAATGGTGGGAGCAACAGAAGGAGAGGGAATAGATTGAAATTGAATAACAAATACAGTCAGTCCCAAATGCTGCTGATGTTTCAGTTTAGTGAGAGGGGATATCTAAACAATAAAGTGTGACTTCCAAGTCTTATTCAGGTTAAATGTCCTTGCAAATTAAATGACTCAAGAGGGGATGAGGTCTTATTAAATAGCATCTTCCTTTGTAGATGAATAGTATTCATAAAGCAAAACACAGAGGTGGTTGACATTATGAGCAATATGGGAACCAAGCAGGTGCAATATGTGACTCATGCAGTTAAAAAGTGATCAAAGGTTGTTTGTGGTGTTTATCAAGTAGCTCGGGTCCTTTAAACAAGATGAAATGTGGCCACTTTTCAACCAATTATCTTTCACTGTGCTCAATAAACTTCCCCTGCAGAGGCATAATAACACACAGGAATACCAGCTTTCATTTGAAGCCATTTTACCGTCGAGGTGGTGCTATTTTAATCCTGATAGCAGTCCACACCATAGCAGTTCAGATAAATTGCAGGCTGTAAATAATGAAGTTGTGCATGGAAAACATACTGTTTTATTTTAAAGAGAGGACAAATGTATAAGGTTAATAATTAGTCTGTGTTTATTTCTTTTCTTTGATATGCTCACTGGAAAATAAAAAGTCAATTTAGGATGTAAAACTACATTTGAATGATCTGGAAAATCATATAAAAGTGACTCGTCCTGTAGGCTAGGCGTACATTAGCCTTTGTCATGAGTAGTTATAACTATGGCGCAGAAAACTATCCTAATGTGAGCCATTATGTTCCAAACTTGCATTTGCACCAATAGTTATGGCCAACTAAAGTTATATTGTTCGTTTTCTCTGTCTATGCATGCCGTGTTTGCATACAGCAAGGGAATGCATTCAAGCAGAAACATGTTCCTATGGCCGAATTTTACACATAGCCTACGAATGAAAGACACAACAACCACCTGCAACACAACCAACATAAGTTTTCCTGATAAAGTTATTATTTAATTTGACCATCAACACACATCCTGCACCTTAGCTTATTTAAAATGCCACCAAAGGACAAATGTACCGGAGAAAAAGCACTGCATAACAACCGACTGAGAACACGACACACTAACGTTAGCTGGTAGCAAATCAAGCTGAATCACTGCGGCCCGTTTGAATGCTCCTCATGATCAAGTAGCGCTTAGCCCTGCACCGTCTTGTTTTTGCCCTGTTGCACACATTTGTTTCCACTTCTAATTGGCCTCGTGTTTACCTCCGTAAAAATAAATATTTCCAGTGCTGTCTCCCTCGGTTAGGGTTATAATCTAATCTAATGTTTAGGTTGGGTTATTGTTCGTTTGGTGCACGTTGAAGGAAACACATTTGGGTAAGGCAAATTCCCCTAATTGCCTCCACTTTTCCCTCACTTCCGCCTTCTCATTCACCTTAGTCCCTCATACGACGCAAGGAGAGATGCAAGAAAAGGTAGCATACAAAGGAAAAACTATTTTGTTGTTGTTGTTGAGGAATTTGATGTCCTCTCCTGTTAACAGTCACCTGAAGAGTATAGCCCGTTTTCTGACGAATATGTGCAGCACAGTTGGAGCAGCTTTCGGATTCTATAACACTTTTGTTGGTCTTTGTAATTGCTTTATAAGCACTGTCCTAATGAAAATATTGGAAAATAAGGGTGCACACCACAGCACAGCAGTGTCATTGTCCCCCTTAAAATAAACACACACACACATTTGCTCTTATTAAAAAACTAACCAGCCTTAAATGTGTGGATACACGTTTTTTTTAAATGTATTTAAAAGTAGCCTACTTTGCGTCTGTGTTTATTGAATAATTGAATATCTGTATGTAACTGCATTATCGGAAGAACAGGTTATGATTACAATGTCATTTTAAGAAATGATTTATTGGAAATTATAATTGAACATGTGTTTATTGCTAACACTATTAAGACCTCTCCTTGACTATGAAATTATAATGATTTAAAGGGTGGATATACGTGAAGAGAAACATATTGTTTAATGAATGAACACATACAGACACATCCCAAATCCATTATTTTCAGCTATTAAGAAAAATAGAAACCTTGGAGAATTATACTTGAGTTTTGTTGTGTGGCCGCTCTAGGGAAAAAACACATTGATGGTGTGATGTGGAGGCGTGTGGCGTAGTGGATTGTCCGTAGGTGTTCGGATCATTGGGTCACAGGTTCAAACCCCACTGCAGTCAGCATGTCGTTGTGTCCCTGGCAAGACACTTCACCCCAAATTGCTCCTGTGGGGATTGTCCACAGTATTGAGTAAGTCGCTTTGGATAAAAGCGTCTAACAAGTAACATGTAATGTAATGATGTGGAAATCAGTCCCATCAATTGCAGCATCCACTTACTTACAGATTTCCGATAAAGAGGATGTGCTTGGTGAGTAAAATACTTTAAGGAAGCTGATCTACTGTATCCTCGTTCCTCAGACACAACCACATCTTAGAAGAGCTCAGCCTGCCAGCTACTGTCTAAAAACACAGAAATGTCACTTAAGACAGCGTCAAAAAGCAGTACTTTAGATACAATATTTTCCCAAAGATATTTATTTTGTCTTTCTTTAAATAGTATAACAATGTTAACAATACATTCAAACATGTTGACATTGTTTCCAACTGCAAATGGGATGGCTTTAAAGGCCTTGCACACCCTTGATAATCCCACACAAGTGATTTTAAGTGTGGACTTTCCACCTGTTTAAATGTTTTATCAGATAAACTAGAGAACCTGTGTGGATGTGCAGGTATACAGAAACAATAGTGGATGATTCAGTTTCTCCACTTGTTGTTTAGTATGAGCCGTTAGTGGCGGAGATCAGACACATCCTACAATTTCAGGTAAATGCTGTCTGGAAATAAAGCTCACACACTAAATGGTGAATACTTTGAGATATCTGTTTGAGTAATACTGAACATTGTACTCGCTGTCTCCCTCAGGCGTGTGAACCGTCTGTTTGGGGCTTGTAAAACATTGTGCTGGATAACAAATGCTCTACAAAATATCCAAATATCTGGAACAAACTCCCAGAAACCTGCAGGTCCGCTACAACTCTGACTACTTTTAAATCCAGGCTGAAGACTTTTCTTTTTGTCGCTGCTTTTAATTGAACTATTCATATCTTAGACTGCACTGTAACTTTTATCCATGTATTTTTTCTTTTAATGTTTATTTTATTAGCTTTTCTTTTTAATGACTGATTTTAAATGCCATTTTCTTAATCTCTTTCATTTTTTGTAAAGCACTTTGAATTGCCTTGTGTTGAAAAGTGCTATATAAATAAACTTGCCTTGCCTTGCCTTGCCTTACAACATTAATAGAACATTTGGGGCATTGCACTAAAATCAGTTAATTCTTTATTTTTTTTATCTCCCTTGAAAAAGAGATCAATGATCTCAATGGGATTTATCTGTATAAATAAAGGTTTGAAATTAAATGAAATTTTTTTCGATTAAAATGTTGACAGTATTTGGACTGAATCCCTCCCAAACCACAGTTATAAAACTCAAAGGTCAGGTTATCAGAGACATATTGATTTGCAAAGTATTTGAAATGACTAATGTCTTCTTGATAAACTGGTTATTTTTTGGTTTCCGTGTCCCAACGAAACCAGCTTTTCATGTCTTTATCCTTTAAAAAGATAAAGGATGAAAAGAAAATATATATTGTGTAGATTATCTAGAGGACGATAATTCTATGAAGTAAACATCTCTTCTGTTGGATATTATTTTAAATGCTGCAAATAAAAATCCCATTCTCCTGTGCCAGCTGTCAAACAGCTATGAGCAGATGTACTTTGCTATGTATATAAACACAATTCATAGTGTGATCACCAAACAAGTCACACCCATAATCAATGGTGGAGAAACTACTTAAGTAAAACTGTTAAATTACCACACTGCAAACAAACTAAAAGTCCTGATTTTAAAATGTTTCTTGAGACTACAGATGTACATGTATAATAAATACAATTGTAATCAATCTATTTAATATGAAGCAGGACATTGAGCCCTGTGAGAGCAATTAAAAACTGGAACAATTGACATAATGTTTGGTGGTTTAATCTATAACAATATATCAACATATATTATCCCATCCTATGTTTAATTTATTGGTGTTTTAATTAAATGTATTAAAGTTAACTGTAACTATTACTTCCCCCTTAAATGTAGTATAAAGTCGCTTTAAAAGGAAATACAGGTAATGTGCAAGCACCTTGAATACTTAGTTACTTTCCATCAATTCAAACTTTCCATTACAGCTTTTTGTGGGAAGAACCCGCAAAATAAAGCAAAAGTCGAGACAACTTGAAAGGATATGGCGTTCCACTAAACTTGAAGAATCTCGTTTAATTTGACATATTACTCTCAATGAATATAAGAAAGCACTGTGTAAAGCGAGAGCAGCCTACTACTCTTCATTAATAGATGAGAATAAGAATAATGCAAGATTTCTTTTCAGCACTGTAGCCAGGCTGACAGAAAGCCACAGCTCGATTGAGCCTTCTATTCCCATAGCACTCAGTAGTAATGATTTTATGTGCTTTTTTAACGATAAAATTGTTACTCTTAGAAACAAAATTAATGACCTCTTGCCTTTGACCAGTTATCAACAGCTCCCAGAAACGTAAGTGCTAATATTACACTAGATAGTAAACTAGAATGCTTTTCAGCCATAAACCTTGAACAATTAAATTCAATGATTCTCTCTTCTAAACCATCAACGTGCATGTTAGACCCAATTCCAACTAAGCTGTTGAAGGAAGTTTTTCCATTAATTAGCACTTCTTTATTAAATATTATGAATATGTCTTTATTATCAGGCTATGTTCCACAATCATTCAA